CCCCGCCACAAGGCGCAGACCAACCGACTCGCGAACGCCACCGATGGGTCCTCGAGGACCGCGGCCGTGTCGGGACGCCCGCGCCAGTCCTACCTTGGACCTCTCCTTGACATAGTATTTGCCCAGGCGGCTTCCGCAGTACAGGACCAGCCTGTCGATGAGGGACAGGAGGAAGCTGATGGCCTCGCAGCCCTCTTCGTTGCCCCCGATCCACGTGATCTGGTCGCCGCGCAGGTGCCGCTTGGAGACCCCGGCGCGGGGCCCCGCCAGCTGGCCGTCGCGCAGGGCGCCGTTGCAGTGCAGCTGCTTGACGCGCTCCAGGACGCAGTCACCCACCACCTCGCCCAGGAAGTTGTCCAGGTAGCAGAAGCCGACCTCGTGCAGGCACGGCACGATGTACTCCAGGGCGATTTTCTCCAGATCCAGCCTCATGATGTGTCCCAGGGGCATCTCGCCCGCGGAGGGGAGGTCGGGGACCCCCAGCGTGCAGCCCTGGACGGAGAGACCTAAGCGCGATCGGAGCTTGGGTGCGGGGAGCGTGGCTGGAGCTGCGGAGCCCCCGAGCCACCACAGCGGCGTCAGCAGAAGGGAAAGTTGCTTGCAACTCTGGGACGCGGAGTCCCGGTCAACGGCCAGAGGGAGTCGTGCGGGGCTCCACGATCCAGCGCCGGGCTGACCCTGCCAGGAATCGGAGAGCCCCTCTGGGAGGTGCGAGTCACCGCAGCCACCGCGGCGCTCAGTCGCCCTAAGAGGCTGAGGTCCAGCCCCTAAACCGGCCCCGCGCGGCGCGTCACGGGCCCCGCCCCGGGCCCGCCTCCCTCCGGGGCAGCCCTCCCCCTCCCCCGGTCACTCCACCCCCACCCCCTCCGTCACCCCTTCTCAGCCCCCAGGGCCAGGGATCCCAGCGGGCCCGCTCCAGCCCAGGCTGGTTGCGCAGGGAACCTGGAGAACAGAGCAAGTTTTTAGCTCGTTGTTTTGCTTAAAACCCGATTACAAACTTGCAAACCGTAGGTCCCGACGTTGAGAAGGTAAACATGATCCGCAGCACGGCTGGCTGCCAAGTTCTGGGCAAACCCTCTCACAGGCTTTTGAATAAATAATAAACCTGGGAACAAATATACATATTAAACAGTGGTCTCATTCTTGGCTTTATCTGCTGCCTTTCGTTGTTCCCCTTTTGCTCTGCTGTTAGATCCCCAAGTCAGCAAGCTCTAGCCAGACAGATTGAGAAGCTCGATCCAGTTCTCATGAAAATGAACAACTGACCTTGGTGAAGTGGTTACCCTGCAGGGCTGCAATCCACAAGGTCAGCAGCTCAAAACCATCAGCTGCTCTGAGGGAGAGAGACGGGACTTTCAATTCCTATAAGGAGTTAGTCTCAGAAACGCACCAAGACAGGTTACCCTGTCCCTTAGGGTCACTGTGAGTGGCACAGACTCGATGGCAGTGAGTTTGCTGTGGTTGACCACGTTCAAGGCCCTGTCCTGCAAATGAGGGAGGAGGGGAACTGTTAAGAACTGTTACCGAATCCTGCAAATATTTTCCTTTGCTGGATGTTTTCATCCGCTTATCTGTCAAGCTTCGAAATAACTGAAATTCTACCTTTGAAATTAATTATGTTGAGAAATTCACTATAGGTGTGTTCAAAACCAACCACTACATTGGGGTCCAGCCTATCACTTTCCCCAGGGAGCAGCTGCCCTGAACTAGAGGGACAAACACAGTGCAGACTCTCCTTAACTAAAGGTCAACTGACTGCTTTATAGATTCCTGATCGCCTTACCTACCAGACACCAGCGATCGGAATCATGGAAACAATATTCAGAAATGGCAGGCCAAGCCATGTCCACATTTTGTGATTTCACACTACAGTAGTTTGCACTAAAGGTCTTCATTTAAGTTGGACAAAAGAAGGCGCAGGTTTTCTGAGTCTCATTTACTTTGTCCACAACCCCCTACGGTTGTTTGTGTGTTTGTTTACTTTTACTTTCCTTCCAATAGCTCTCTCGCCTCTCTGCTTCTGAAAGAGACATGGGGGGAGAAATGGAATGAAGGCCAGGCCAAAAAGGAAGGTGATTAGGGAAGGAAAACACGGCAGAGGAGTGTGGCCGAGAACCTGAGGCTACAGGAGGAAGCATCAAGGGGAGTATAAGAAGCTGGCAAAGAATCTAGGAGCCCTCCAGGTGCCAGGGTTAAGTGTCGGACTGCAGGCAAACAAGGCCCAGCGTTCAATCACATCAGCCCTTCCACAGGATGAGGCTGTCTGCACCCCCAAACATGTGCAGTGTGGGAGAGTCAGAATCGACCCAATGGTAGTGGGTTCGATGAAGTTTCTCGTTACTTCGTGAGGCGGTGGGTGATAGTGTGCACTGTTGCTATGACTTTTCAGCAGGAATTGACAGGATCTCCTGGGGAACTCCATAGGCACATAGTAGGTGTGCCAGTCACTGGGAACCTGGCATCTGAGATTGAGCCATAGCCACTGCTACATGGTATTTGGGCATGTCTGGATTTGTCTGGAGGTCTATAAGAAGGGTCTGTGTGGAAGGACGAAGGCATCCCCATCCCCACCCCCACCCCCCAAACACACACGGGAATTGACAGTAAAAGCGTGCCTGCCAAAGCAGCCTGTTTGAGAACAAAATACCTTGGGCGTTTGGGGGAATGTGTCTCTCAGGCTTATCCTCCCATCCAACCAGGGAAGATCTCTGAGTCGGGGGTGGGGGTGGGAGAGGGGGTTGCCAAAGTGAAAGCTGAAAAACTGTTTATTTGTGACCAGAATTGAGATGGGACGCAATGGCAAAAGGGAAGAAGGCCCTTCTCGCCATTGCTAAGGACATGGAAGCCAAAATCGACTTCCATCCCAAATGGGCTTAGCCCCTCTAATGGCCATTACAGATGACCAGGAGAAACGTGGTCTGAGGTGGTCTGCGTGTGGACCCTGATAGGCAGTGATGCATGGGTGTTTGCACATTTGGAGACTTTTGTAAACCTCAGAAGTAGGTATCCTGAAGCTGGCCAGACGTTTTAACAAGGTTGTGGGTGTGGGGGAGGGAGGGGAGAGGACATAGTAGGCAACTATTAGTAGCTGACCCAAACTCTCTAGCTGAAGATCCTTTGTAGATATTCCTGATACTCCTGGGAATAATTAGGAAAGCGTTTACCAAAACCAAGAAACCTGAAGGGCCCCCCAAATAAAAAACATGTCCCGGTGGGTTTCCAAGATTGTAACTCGATTGGAGTAGAAAGCCCCATCTTTCTTCCTCAAGGAGTCTGGTGGTTTTGAATTGTCATCCTTGCGGATCACAGCCAAATGCTAATCATTACACCACCAGGGCTGCCCCTATGGGGCATGGTGGCCCAGAAACACAGAAAAATCTGCATCTACCACCCTTAATGAACATGTTGATGGCGCTTTCAGTCCCAGGACTGGGTCGAATTGCCTTATTTTTCAAATAACATTGAAATCATTTCAGCGTAAAGTTGTACCAGAGGGACAGAGAAATTACTAATGGGCCCATGAGTCAGAATCCACTCGATGGCCGTGAGTTGCCCTGAAGTAACAGTCTAAACCAGTTGCTTTTCTAGGTTACTCTGTTCGCAAACCATGGGCAGTTTAGAAAAGAATTCAGGGAAGGAGGGGGCAAAATGAGGAGCTGATACCAAGGGCTCAGGTAGAAAGAAAATGTTTTGAGACTGATGAGTGCAACACACGTACAAATGTGCTTGACACAATAGATGTATATATGGATTCTGATAAGAGTTGTATGAGCCCCCAAGAAAATGATTTAAGAAAAAAGAAAAGAATTCAATTTGTTAGCACCATTCCTGCTTGGCAAAGGTACCTGTTAATCAACCAAGGACCTTCCCATCAGTTTAAGGCTGGCAGCCCCAATTTTGGCTGAGGAATCCAACCTCTGACTTCTGGGAGAAAATGAATGTCTGATGACAGGGGGCGGGCAGACAGGCTGGAGCCCTGCACGGGATCTGGTCTGAGCGTCAGAGTGGCAACTCTCAAGCCAATTGTGAAAGCGTGTTGGTTTTAGCTAATTGGTGTTATCATAATGAGTATTAAAATATTTTTTCATATGAATAAGGACACCAACTTCCATCCCCTGTCACTGACATACACTAAGGTTGTCGAGCAGTGGGCATGTCCAGTACAGATGCCGTCTTTCTGCAGCAGGTAAATGAGAGGGATCGAAGAAATGAGGCTGCAGTTCTTGACTGTGAATTGGCACTGGAAAGGATGGTCCTGGTCACCTAATGCGACTGCACCTCCCTACAGAGCAGTATGGCAAGGCCCAGAGGACTGGACAGTAAGGGCCAGTAAGGTCCTCAGTGGGTGGCCAAGGAAGTCTCCACGAGTCTGCCTTTCCATTATAACTAAGGAATGTCTCTCCACCTCCCTTCTTTTTAGATTTGTTTTAATGAAGTAAACTTCACACCGTTAATCATTTTAAGGTGAACAATTCGATGACATTTGACACATTCATAATATTAGGCAATCACTACTTTTGTGTAGTTTCCATAAAATCATTTTCACTTAACTACTAACAGAAAGGTTGGGTGTTCAAACCCTTCTGGTGACACCGTGGAAGACAGGCCTGGTAGTCTGCTTCTGCATCCATCACCAACCCCAGGGGCTCAGTTCTACGGGAGAACCCCATGGGGCTCAGTTCTACTCTGTAGTACTTTGCTCTGGGTCAGAATCAACTCTACCGTTGTTTTGTTTTCTAATCTAGCTCCAAACCATTTTATCACCTCCCAATAGAACCCTGTACCCACGAATCAATTACTCTCTATGGTCCCCAGGCCCTCCCAACCATCCATCTGCTGGCTGTTCCTATGAATTGGCCTATTCTAGATTTTCACATCAATGGAAACATATAATATGTGTCCTATTGTGTCTGGCTTCTCTCACGTAGCATAATGTTTTTAAAGTCCACCCATGCACATATTGGCAGGTCCTTCTTTGTTGAATAATATCTCATTGTGTATACATACATACTTTGTTTAACCATTCAGCCCTGGACGGGCACTGGGTTACTTTCATCTTTTGGCCATTGTGCACAGTGCTGCCGTGAACACGTGTGTGCATGCATCTCTTTTGAGTCACTCTTTTCAGGTCTGTGGGGGATGCATGTCCCTCGGTCAGGAGCTGCTGGGTCGAGTGGAAACGGAAACGGTTCCTTGGTGACACAGTGAAGTCTAAGCCTCGAACTGGTGATGGCAAGATGCAATTCCAACCCACCAGCTGCTCCACTGCAGAGAGAGGGATGAGGCCGCCTGCATCTGTGGATAGCTTCAGAAACCCTGCGTTGTTGTTGTTGTTGTTGCTGATGTTAGGGCTGTCTGGTCAGTTCTGACTCATAGTGACCCCATGTCACTATGACCCAGCAGAATGAAACACTGCGAATGGGGGTGCAGCACCATCCTCACGATGGCTGTTAGGCTTGGGCTCATTGTTGCAGCCGCGATGGGGTCGTTCCACTCCAGCCTACCGAGCCGCTATGAGTCAGAATCGGCGCCACCACAATGGGCATGAGTCAGACTGGGTCATTTGGTTTAGAAAGAGGGGAAGGTGACAGAAGCACCCCTGGTGATTTTAATGTGCAACCAGAGTTGGGAACAACTAGTCTAATCAAAGAGAAGAAGCAAGCTTCCAGAAAAAGAGCCCTCTATTGTCTCTTCTCCTGAACAGGGAGAAAGGAAACGTGCAGTCCGGTG